CTGGCAACTCTGCGCATGCACACACTGGGAACAGACTCCAGCTGTTCGTCTGCCTCACTGATGTCTGACACTGGAGACAGCTGATAACTGGCATATGGGTCTGGTCCCCTCTCTGCCTCGGACACAGAGCCCTCATCAGAGCCTTCCCGAGAATCCAGGACTGGCCCAGGTTCCTTCCCAACCTCCTCACTGTCCAAATCTGCTGCCAGGTCTACTGGCCACTGGTGGGCCACAACTATATGAGCCAGCTGCCAAGCACATCTGAATTTTGATCCCAGGATTATGGGGGTGTTGTAAAAGTCGTAGCTGTGAAAAACAGTCCTAAATCAGTGGCAGTTGGAACTTTGAACGGCCATTAAATGAAGTGCTACAAGTTTATTCTCGGGTAATACCTTCGTAAACTGCTCGGATGTCAAGCACAAGAAATCAGGAAATCCAGGCAGTTCAAATCAATATAAAGGTTTGTTGCAAGCTTAAGGTCACTACAAGAATCTGAGCATACTAACAGTCAAAGCAAATTGGTGGTACGGAGCTCAAGGTGGGCTGGACTTAAGTCTCCTGTGGGCGCAAAAATTTTTGAGACTGATGACACATTTGACCCCTCCCTCAGGCTCAGTCTGTTCATCTCCTACACGGGAGAGACACCGAGAATGACTTGGGCCGCCATATAAATTTTCTTCCATAAAAACAAATTAAATAAACGATATATGAATTGCAGTTCCAGACAGCAGAAATGTCCAACAAGGAGGGAGTGTTATATTTCAACATCTGGAAGGGCCCAGATGGTCTACCCCAGCCATTCACCTTGCAGATTAAACAGCTCACTTGTTTTAATTTATTTAGTCAAATATATATATTTTATCCTGCTCATCAGCCAACAAAGCAGCTTACAAAAGGCAATCAAAAACCATAATCACCGATCATTAGTAAACAAACACGCAGACACAAAAAAAAAGGTCAGTGTTGTTTCATTTTAAGCCAGGATTACACAAATACGGTATTATTTTTCTAATAAAAGAGTTTTCACCTGATAATCAAGAAAGGTGGCACGGCTGAATAGCTGCACGAGGGTTTGTTTTCACTGGGGTAACAAAACTAGAAAGCTTCCATTTGGCTTCTAGGATAAAAAAATCTACATTTATTCAGAGCAGAAGGTTTAGAACAGTGTTTCTCAGTGTTTCGCTGGCTGGGGAATTCTGGGAGTTGAAGTCCAGACATCTTCAAGTTGAGAAACACTGGTTTAGAAACTTCTTTAGCTAGGTGTTATGAAGATGTTTGATGGAAGATTTCCCCAAGTTCAGAAACAGATTGTGTACTGGTAGTCCTCGACTTACGACAGTTCATTTAGTGAACGTTCAAAGTTACAACGGCACTGAAAAAAGTGACTTATGACCATTTTCCACACTTAACAACCACTGCAGCACCTCCATGGTCATGGGTTCCAAATTCAACTACTTGGCAACTGACTCATATTTTTGACGGGTGTCCCGGGGTCACGTGATCACCTTTTACAACCTTCTGACAAAGCAAAGCCAATGGGGAAGCCAGATTCACTTAACAAACGTGCCACTAACAACTACGGTAATTCACTTAACAACTATGGCATGAAAGGTCGTAAAACAGGACAAAATTCGCTTAACAAATATCTCACTTAGCAACAGAAATTTTGGGCTGGATTGTGGCTGCAAGTCAAGGATTTACCTGTCTGTCCAGAGAAAATTCAAAGCACAGGGATAGGAAGAAGAGCATCTATTCTCCAAAGCACCTGAGGGCAGGATAAGAAGCAATGTGTGGAAACTAATCAAGGAGAGAAGCAACTTAGAACTAAGGAGAAATTTCCTGACTGCTAGAACAATTAATCAGTGGAACAACTTGCCTCCAGAAGTTGTGAATGCCCTAACACTGGAGGCTTTTAAGAAGATGTTGGATAGCCATTTGTCTGAAACAGTATAGGGTTTCCTGCCTAGGCAGGGGTTTGGACTAGAAGACCTCCAAGGTCCCTTCCAACTCTGCTATTGTATTGTATTGAATCTTACTTGAAGAAATGGGAGAAAACAGGTAACTATCAAAATCCGTCAAAGCTTAACAGAAGCTGCATCCATTTTTCATTGTCTGGTGTTTTTTCAAAATTAGGAACCAACCCAACATACTTCAAAAATGGATCTCCCCTTAGGAAGAGAGGGGGTTAGGAGAAAGGGGGGGGGGAGTGGAGGAGAGAAAGAAGGAGGGGAAAGAGGAGAGAGGAAGGGGAAGTAGAGAAGCGAAGGATGACAGAGGGAAGAAAGGAGAGAGGGAGGAGAGAGGGAGAAGAGGCAAGAAAAGGATGGATAGGGTATAAATATGGTGTATGGAGAGCAGAAGAGCAAATAATAGTCTTTGGGGTTTGATGGTAAGACGAATTGACATAATACTGAATAATACAAAATAGTATTGGTTATGTAATGGTATACATGTGGTTATTTGTATGAAAATAAATAAAAAACATTTTAAGAAATGGATCCCCCCACCCACCCTTCAGAAAGGCTGGCAACAATAGCCCAACTCAGCAACCCCCAGAGGCTCTTAGCCCATAACACAATTCAACGGTGAACGAAATTAACATTTATAGTGCTAAAGTTTGATCTGAACACACTGCCAAAAAGAACGCCCTGACCTACATCTGGCCTTTGATTGTCACAAAAGGGGAAGAGGGCTTCAGAAATAAAACCTAATGTGGGAGGCTGAGGCTTTGCTTTATACAACGCCACTTCTCCACATCTGTCCTTCTTACTATCTGTCTGCGTTTATTTAAGGTGGAGAGTGGGGGAGCGTACAAGGGGGACCACACAGGTTTTTGTGTGCGCCGCATTCTCCACCCCGGGGTTGAATCTGTGTGATGGATCATATTTCACCAGGTTCCAAAGTAGCAGAAGGATGCAAACACATAGATTTTAGTGAATGGCAAAGGAGTTCACCTTAAACATGGCCAGGCTGACCATTAGTGGTGGGTTGCAGGCGGTACGCCCCGGTACGGGCGTACCAGAGCCTAACCGGAGCAGCGGGTACTGTTCCGGTACAGTGCTCCGGAGAACCCACCCACCCCTTACCTGTCCTTTAAGCCTTTGGCGCTTCCGCACACGCGCATGGTGCGTATGGCGCCTGCGCGACGCTCCGCCAAGCAGCTGGAGGTTTGCTGAGGCTTCGCAGGCAGGTCCACCTGTGGCCTTACTCCCAAGTCGACCCCTGTTCTTAAGCTGTTCCCTTTGTCTGGCAATTCTGTGCATGCGTACACTGGGAACAGGCTCCAGCTGTTCTTCTGCCCCACTGATCTCCAAAGGCAACTGATAACTGTCAGACGGCCTTGGCCCCCTCTCTGCCTCCGGCACAGAGCCCTCATCAGAGCCTTCCCCAGACTCCAGGACTGGCCTATCTTCCTCCCCAACCTCTTCACTGTCCGAATCTGCTGCCGGCTCTGGTGGCCACTTGTGGGCCACAACAGACAAAGCTTGCAACAGATTGGAGATTTGATTCCTCGTACAAACGTACCAATTCATCCACATTTTGTTCGCGTAATTTCAAAAGCAAAAAAAAAAAAAAAAGATTTTAAACTGGCGATTAAGTGTCTACATGGAGGATTATATGAGTCACCAAGCCTTTATAATCTTCACTGATCTACTTTAGTTCAATATGCACATTTGGAGTTTACTCAAAAGGATTCCCGTCCCAAACCACAAACATTCTTGCATCCAATCCAATTTTTTTTTCTCATCCGAGGCATCGTTCAAAAACAAAAACAAAAAAAACAACCAGAATGGAGATCCACTTTAAACCTCTCGATGTATACAGGAAGTCCTCGAGTTACAACCGTTCACTCAGTGACCGTTCACAATGGCACCAAATTGACTTACAACCATGTTTCTCATGACTGCTGCAACATCTGCGTGGCGGCGTGATCCAAATTCAGACCCTTGGCAACTGACTTGCAGTCATGTCGGCTTTAGGGTCCAGGTCACGAGATGTTGCGACTTTCTGACAAAGAAGTTGGAAAGCGGATTCGCTTAATAATCGTGTTACTTAACAACCACAGTGATTTAGTTAACAACTGCGGCAAAAAAAAGGTTGTGAAATGGGGCAAAGCTCATTTGGCAAATGTTTCACTTAGCAACAGGAAGTTTGGGCTCAGTTGTGGTCGTAAGTCGAGGACTACCTGTATAGTCAACAAACTACATTAAAGAGAGGCTTTCGTTGTAGAATTAGAGCTGAAGTCGAGGAGGAAATATATCTCTCTCTCTATATATATATATATACTTACTGTGTAGCTCATGGTGAATGACATCTACCAGATTCGGTTCGTCTCCCCACCAAAATATCCATAGCTCCTTACAATTCGGTTTGACATCACGCCGCCAGACGCACAAGAGATTGGCCTGCAAACATCGGATGAAACTCAAGAGAATTGGGTCATCTTGAGCAGGGGCTGATATAATAGGTCCACAATCTCCATGACCTTCAAAGTTGTACCTACGCCACTTGATGCCTGTCAGTTCCGCCTGCAGGAAACAAAACAAAAAAGCAACATGTTATTAAAACCGTAGTTTTTACAGCCAACTGATTTGCAGGATTACTTCTTCCCCCCCCCCTTTTTTTTTCCCGGGATTCTAAAACCTTAAGCTGCTAAACTACAAAAAGCATCATCCAAATGAAAATAGTTTTAACACGGAAAGGATTGTTCCCCCCCCCCCTTAATATTTCCACCCGATGGTCAGTTGCCCTATTTAAACTGGAGAAGCTATTAACCAAATAAATGAATAAATGAAATTACAGAATAAACTGTATTTACACTTTTATCCCACTGGATAAGAGGGAAGAGAACTGCCCGTATGTCTGCCGTACAAAAGTAATTATGATACAGTACACATTGTCACATTGCTCTTTTAAAATCCTGAGAACAACAAAATAGAATAACAGGGTTGGAAGGGACCTTGGAGGTCTTCTAGTCCAACCCCCTGCTCAAACAGAAGACCCTATAGCACGAGAGGCTGTCCAGTCTCTTCCTAAAAACTTCCAATGATGGAGCACCCACAACTTCTGAAGGCAAGCTATTCCACTGATCTATTGTTTTCATCGTCAGGAAAACATCGTCTCCTTAGTTCTAGGTTGCTTCTCTCCTTGATATTTGGGATCCTTTGCTTCTTGTCCTGCCCTCTGGTGCTTTGAAGAATAGCTTTACCCCCTCTTCTTTGTGGCAGCCCCTCAAATATTGGAACATTGCTATCATGTTACCCCCTAGTCCTTCTTTTCACTGGACTAAAGGTAAAGGTAAAGCTAAAGGTTCCCCTTGCACATATGTGCTAGTCATTCCCTGCTCTAGGGGACGGTGCTCATCTCCGTTTCTAAGCCAAAGAGCCAGCGCTGTCTGAAGACGTCTCCGTGGTCATGTGGCCGGTAAGACTAAACGCCGAAGGCACAAGGAATGCTGTTAATCTTCCCACCAAAGGTGGTTCCTATTTGTCTACTTTAATTTTTACGTGCTTTCGAACTGCTAGGTTGACAGAAGCTGGGACAAGTAATGGGAGCTCACTCCGTTACATGGCGCTAGGGATTCGAACCGCTGAACCGCCGACCTTTCTGATCGACAAGCTCAGCGTCTTAGCCACTGAGCCACCACATCCCTGTAACTAGACTGTTCCCTAGAGTAGACAAACCCAATTCCAGCAATCATTCTTCATACGTTTTAGCCTCTCAGAACAGAACGCGGATCTTAGAAGATCTTAGAAGCAGATAAGAACTATTTAAAAATAAGCCTTCGGAATACAGTGATTCTAAGCCAGGATATAAAGCAAATTCAGTTCAATTAGAAATAGTACAGCTAAACCTGTTAGCGCTTGAAAAATGTGATTCTTTGCAAGTCAAAATCCTGAGCATTACTAACTGCATAAAACATGGACTCCTGAACTGGCAGTCAATATCTTTAGCTTCAAAACAAAAACAAAAAACAGGAGGGAAAAAAGAAACTTTAGAACTAATCAAGATGTTACAACACAGCCAACCAATCCGCTTACAGCAACAAAGCCAGCACTCCACACGCCCCCACCAATATTTATAGAAAGACGGCAGCTCCGATCACGCTTTGCTCGCACAAGCACAAAGCCCAAAACCCAGCCTGAAGATGGCAAGTGAGACCTCGCTGAAACCTTGCCAAGACAATCCCAATCTTACATGGGAAAAGACCCGAATAAAACAAGACCAGCATATACATATATACATACATGTATACATACATGTATAGATGTATACATACATATACATACATATATATACATGCATATATACATACATATATATATATGTACATACATACATACATACATACATACATACATACATACATGTATGCGTGTTGTATTTGTGCTGATAAATAAATAAAGGGAGAGCACAAATTTTATCAGCACAAATACAACACGCATACATGTATGTATGTATGTATGTATGTATGTATGTATGTATGTACA